TAATTGTACAGAAAGATGAAGGATGTTATTTATGTTCCATATCTGTAATTTTCTTTCACCTTTGAAAGAAAATTATGGATTTTTTTAAAATTAATGGTTGATCTTCTTACATTACAAATTTGTGTTTTTCCTTGAATTTTGATTTTTAACTCAGCGGTTTAGGTATCTGGCTGTAGAGCCAGAAGTTGGGAGTTTTGAGTTCCCCACTGTGCCTCCTACGAGTGGAGCCACTTTGTGTTGCCTTCGGCAAGCTGCACAATCCCAGGATACCTCCAGAAGAACGAAATGATAAACCTTCTGAGTATTTTCTCTACCTGGAAAACCCTGAAAAGGGTCACCATAAGTCAGAACTGACTTGATGTGACCTGACATGATTATTGTTCTTTTACAATCTTGAAAGAAAATAATGGATCATTGTTTGGAGTACTTGATTATAATATACCAGAATTAGAACTGTCACCATATTATTTATTCAATACATTTTATACCACCCCATTTAGTGAGAATCCACTACTCTGGGCAGCCAAATACACAAAAAACACAACATACAATAACCCAAAAGTAAACACAACCCCCCTCCATCCAAATAAAAAGGAAAATAAACAATAATGAACTCAAACTAATACCTAAATGATGAAATAACTGAATAGGTAATAGCGACTCCCTTCCATGATTCCCCTCCACTCAGCCAAGAATCAAAACTGCTCCCTGAGGGGGAGAATGTCTCATAAGGCTTCTTTCAACAGTGCCATTTTTAATAATATCTTGAAAGTTGCTGTAGGTTTTTTGGGCTGTTTGGCCATGTTCTCCAGAACACAGCCAAACAGCCAGAAAAACCTACAACCACCACTGGATCCTGGCCGTGAAAGCCTTCGAGAATACAATACAGTCTAGAGGTTGTGACCTGACCAGAATTGTAATAATTTCTTGAAAGTCTATTTAAAATTGTAACTAGCATCCTGTTACTTAAACACAAGAGTGGAAAGGAAATAACGTGTCCCTTCTACTCTGGCAGGGTCGTCTTATGCTCCCCCCCCCAGTTGCAAAACTGGACAGACAACAATGGGAAGCCTGCGCAACAGTTGGTGGGGCTGGAGATGCGAACACGATTTCTCTTCTGCTCCCTTATTTAGGTGACATGACACCAGCCTGTGAAACATGTTTCTTTTGAATTTTTCTCTCAAAAAAAGAGAACTTATTTTGGAGAGCATACTCCAGGATTATGGAGCATAATATGATGTGGGATGACTCTCCTGAGCACTTAAATTACCCTTACCAAATGAATATACATTTAGGCAATAATATAATTATAATTAATTAAGTAATTAAGTAATCACAAAAACAAACACTGGTCATCACAAACACTCTTTTCCAACAACACAAGAGGCGACTCTACACATGGAAATCACCAGATGGGCAATACTGTAATCAGATTGATTATATTCTCTGCACCCTAAGACAGAGAAGCTCTATACAGTCAGCAAAAACAAGACCTGGAGCTGATTGTGGCTCTAATCACCAGCTTCTTATAGCAAAATTCAAAATTAAACTGAAGAGAGTAGGAAAAACCACTGAGCTAGTCAGGTATAATCTAAACCAAATCCCTTATGAATACAAGGTGGAGGTGAAGAACAGATTTAAGGAACTCGATTTGGTGGACAGAGTGCCTGAAGAACTTTGGATAGAGGCTCGTAACCTTGTACAGGAGGCAGCAACAAAAACCATCCCAAAGAAAAAGAAATGCAAGAAAGCAAAGTGGCTGTCCAATGAGGCCTTACAAATAGCAGAGAATAGAAGGGAAATAAAATGCAAGGGAGAGAGGGAAAGTTACAGAAAATTGAAAGCAGACTTCCAAAGGATAGCAAGGAGAGACAAGAGGGCTTTCTTAAATGAACAATACAAAGAAAAAGAGGAAAATAATAAGAAAAGAAAAACCAGAAATCTGTTCAGGAAAATCGGAGATATTAAAGGAATATTTTGTGCAAAGATGAACATGATGGACAAAAATAGGAGAGACCTCACAGAAGCAGAAGACATCAAGAAGAAGTGGCAAGAATACACAGAGGAATTATAAAAAGCAAAGACATCACCTTGCCAACAAAAGTCCAAATAGTCAAAGCTATGTTTTTTTCCTGTAGTGATGTACGGAAGTGAGAGCTGGACCATAAAGAAAGCTGACTGCCAAAGAATTGATGCTTTTGAATTGTGGCGCTGGAGGAGACTCTTGAGAGTCCCCTGGACTGCAAGGAGAACAAACCTATCCATTTTGAAGGAAATCAACCCTGAGTGCTCACTGGAAGGACAGATCATGAATCTGAGGCTCCAATACTTTGGCCATCTCATGAGAAGAAAAGAC